AGTTGAAGGAGGACCACGACTGGTTAAAATTTGATAGTTGAAGGACCATGAGTGGTTAACTTGGAGGTATGGATGATAACAATTTTAAAGTCGAAGTACCACGAGTGGGTAATTTGAACGTTTACGACTAAACGTGGTAAATCACTATACTCGGAGGACCCCATATGACATTAACTCTTAAAAAAGTATAAACATTTTTATTTACAAAACTCGAACTCCAGCATTTTCAATCGTTATACGGTGGTTTAATGTCGATATTGTAAAGTGAATCACTGATACACATGTTCATTTTTAATGTATTTGTAATTTATTTTTATTGTATTTCTTGTTCATTATATTTTGATACACATTCTTTTTTAGTATACTACTTAACAATGAAAGGTAACACACTAAAATGAACATACAATATACTAAAAATGAACATATTTTAGTGATTCACCTTACAATTGTTATGACCCGCGTCCAAAATGACACCGTCTAATTTTATTTTATTTTAAATTACTTCCTTCCTTGCCGTTAACTTGGCATTTGTCTTCAGAATTCGTTCCTCTATATTCATAATTTTTGAACTCTATATTCACAATTTTTGAACCCTGTATTCACAATTTTAGAACTTTATATTCACAATTTTAGAACTTAATATACAAAATTACAGAACTATATATTTATAATTACAAAACTTTATATTCACAATTACAGAATTCTATATTCACAATTTCATAACTCTATAATCACAATTAAAGAATTTTATATTCACAATTACCGAACTCTATATTCAACAGTACAACACAATTTTGAAATTTATATTCACAATTTACAATTTTTGAACTCTATATTCACAAATTTTAAACTCTATATTCACAAAATAAATAAATAAATATATATATATATATATATATATATATATATATATATATCATTAGCGGAAAAAATAGTAACACTAACAACATCATTATTCCAAACGGGTGTTTTGGACCTGGGTCCACCACCCGAGTCCACAACATAATTTGCTCAACACTTTACATTGGGTTGCAATTTCAATAAACGGGCAAGATTAGTCCAAGAATTGACAACCTCTAGACTTACAATGGGCCTGTTTCTTCCCAGCAGGACTGCAAACAGAGCCCATGAGGCCCATCTAGCAAACTCACGCAAATTATGCCATGGAATCGTGTTCACCGAGAAAGGTGAACACAAGGCAAAATGACGTCGTTTTTAGGCCAAAAAAAAAAAAAATTCGCGGATGTGAAGTTAACGGCGCGCGTTTGATCAAATTATGAATTTTCTGTTATGAGATTATGAATTTTAGGAAAATTCATAATCTCATAACAGAAAATTCATAATCGCATAACAGAAAATTCATAATCTCACAACTGAAAATTCATAATCTCATAACAGAAAATTCATAATCTTATAACAGAAAATTCATAATCTCATGGTTCCAAAGTGAATGTGTAGGCATGGTTCCAAAGTGAATGTGCAGGCATGGATTCATAATTTATGAATGTCCTTAATTTCGGACGGGAATATGTAGGCATGGTTCCAAAGTGAATGTGCAGGCATGAATTCATAATTTATGAATGTCCGAAATTATGAATGTAATGAAAATTCATAATCTCATAACAGAAAATTCATAATCGCATAACAGAAAATTCATAATCTCATAACTGAAAATTCATAATCTCATAACAGAAAATTCATAATCTTATAACAGAAAATTCATAATCTCATGGTTCCAAAGTGAATGTGTAGGCATGGTTCCAAAGTGAATGTGCAGGCATGGATTCATAATTTATGAATGTCCGTGATTTCGGACGGGAATGTGTAGGCATGGTTCCAAAGTGAATGTGCAGGCATGAATTCATAATTTATGAATGTCCGAAATCTTTGTTCACCTCAAATTAAAGTGAAACTGCAAAATGTGAAAATAAAGAAGAAAAATCACGCAATTAATTAAAAAAAAAAAAAAAAAAAAAGAAGATAACGGTGTACTAACACCGTTAGAACCGTGTTCACCATGAATGGTGAACACGGTTCCATGGCATAACGTCTGGCAAACTCATGGCAAATTTTCAATCATTATTGTGTGGACCATATTTTGTATACTGTAAAATAATGTATATTCAATACAAAAATAATGTACATTTAGTACAAAAATTATGTACATTGTATTTAGGGGAAGTACATTATTTTGTACTGATTGTACATTATAAATATAATGTACAATCATTACAACAGTAATGTATATTTAATATATTAAAAATGTATTTTTTGTAATGATCCATGTAACATTGTGTGGACCTGGTCCACACAATAAATTGTCACAAATTTTACTGTGGACCATGTAGTATCATAGATCATGAAGTATGTATCATTTTAAATACATTTTAGTTTCATTTGACAATATTGTTATGTTTTTTAGTTTCATTTTCCTTCTATACTAGTTTCAATACAGCAATACTAAAGTATCATTTTAATTCTATTATAGTTTCATTTTATAATATAGATTTTTGCTTGAGTTCTATTTTTTTGTTTCATTTTCCGCACACAAAAGTTTAATTATAGTAATGTTGAAGTATTATTTTAATTCAATTTCAGATCATTTGACAATATATGTTACTGTATGACTCTGAAATTTAGTTTCATTTTCTATGCAGAGTAGTTTCATTATAGTAATACTAAAGTATTATTTTAATTATACTACAAATTCATTTGCCAATAATGTACTCTATTTTTTAGTTTCAGTTTTCACACACTAGTTTCATTATAGTACCACTAAAATATCATTTTAATTTTAGTACAGTTTCATTCGACGATCATGATCCACACAGCGATGTGTTAACCATGATGCACTGTATAAGAACTCGCAAACTCATTGCTACCTATGTCCCATCTGATTTTAAAAAATTTAAAAAAACAAAAAAAAATTACAGACTTACAGTTGCTTCATGCCTAAATTGATAAAAAATTTTAGCATTGGAACTGTTTGGCGTAGGATATGTAATTTTTTTTTAAGTAAATACCCAAAATGGTCCATCGACTATAGCTAAATTCACAAATTGGTCCTCAATTTTTAATTTCACCCAATTAAGTCCTTAACTTTGCAATTGTGACACGATTTGGTCCTCCATCTAATTGACCGTTTGTTGACTGTGATCGACGATCTCCAGAAGAACCTTCAGCTCTCGTTGGAGCACGTGGAGGTCTCCAGGATGACGTTGCACCGGTTCAGAAACACGTCGTCTTCTTCGCTCTGGTACGAATTCAACTACATTGAATCCAAATGGAGGATGAAGAAGGTGACCGGGTTTTGTAAATTGCTTTCGACAGTGGATTCAAATGTAACAGTGCGGTCTGAAAATGCAACCGGAACCTTAAAAAACCGACGATGGACCATGAAATTACATATATATCCTCAAAAATCACAGTCAACAAACGGTCAAATAGACAGATGACCAAATTGTGTTAAAATTACAAAGTTAAGGACTTAATTGGGTGAAATTGAAAGTTAAGGACCAATTTGTGAATTTAGCTATAGTCGAGGGACCATTTTGGGTATTTACTCTTTTTTTTTTTTTAACAAAAATATAATATTTTTCTATGCGATAACATACAACAAATGATTTCCTAAAAATATATGAAACATAATATTAATGCATAAAATATTTTTCAAAACTTTGAATTGACTTTTTAAATATGTGGTAATATATCAGTTAATGATAACATATAAACTTATATAAATCAGTATACCAAATATAAATTCATAATAATTTTAATCACAAGATTATTATTATTATTTTGTTGAAGGGCAATTAAATTAAAAGTTAAATTAAATACTATTATCAAATCCTCATTGCGGATATTATGCTGATGATTCTGTAAACATTTGCATGTTCATAGATACTAAAGTTTATATAAATTTACTGAAACTGGATCCAGTCAGCACTCACACATATGAACTTACTTAACATTTGATGAGATTAAAATTTGCAGTTGCATAGTTTGATTCTTACCGATAATTAAAATGAAAGTATGGATTTGATTTTATTATGGGGATCTATAGAGACTAATTAATGACTCAACAGATAACGTTAAATGCCAGTGTGCACAAGGGATCTGCTCACTTTAGATATACTCTCCATACTACCACCGTCGAGGTTCAGACCTTAGTCTCTTTTTCTAAATACTGTCTACTGGAACCACTGAACTAAACCCGTACCGGCATGATTCCACCAAATTTCAAGTGTAGGGGCAGCGAAGGATTTCAGAATTAAAAACTAGTATTATTGACTCTGTTATAATGTTGTATCTGTTCATAACTACCACGAGATTAATGTAACTGAATTTTGATCGGCCTCCCTCCAAGATAGACAAACAACTTTCTTAAGGATATTCGCAAAATAAGACTAATACAATCAAATCTTGGCCCCTATTTAATAAGGACGAACAATTTTCTAAGCGCGCTATTGCATAAATGTAACTTAAGTAATATTTGTCCGCATGGACAATTCAACTGGTCATAGGGGTGAAGTTTAGAAAGAATGATCAGGGGTCGAGTCTCACCAGCAGCAGTATGGGAGCAACCTCTCAAAGTGAGAGGGACTCCGAGTTACCATTCCAGATACTCTGTGGGGAGGGGTTGGGTATTCAACCTTTTGGGAAAAACTTTAAGTAATACTTTGAGATTCAAAAAGGGGCATAAGTTATTACCAAATCATATGCTAATCTTTATTCACTTAATCATATGCTTAGCAGCCATTAATGTAGATTACAGTACACCAAGCACATGTGCTCTACAATAATCCAGTACACTACATAATTAATGTTGGTTCAATCATAACCCACACAATTATTGATTCAGACTTAAAAGCATCAGATCACACAAAAACAGGAAAATGCTTCCATTAAAAAAAAAAAAAAAAAAAAAAAAAAAAAAAAAAAACAACTTCTGCAGTTTACAGATATTCCATCCTCAAGAAACCACCTTAAACAACAATATGTGATTCAAGACTGAAGAACAAAAACCATTTCTAGCAATCTTGATGGAGCATCAAACTTTATACTACTAGCAATGGCCAAAAAGAATGGTGATCAGCAGAACAATGGGCATTTGCTAATTGTTAAAAAAAAAAAAAAAAAAAAACTCATGGTGTATGAGATTCAAACACTGCAGGTTGTGAGCAGCTAGCCTTGTTACAAAATACAAATGGGAGAAGCATGAAAACAATGTAGATGCAACTTTAATTTGCAATCTGCATAAAGAAAAAAAGAAATCGCTTCTTGACTGGCAACTATGATTCATCTGCAAGTTAAAACCGGGCTGCATCAATCAGCAACTAACGTTGTTCAAACAAACCTAAACAATCATCATCTCGTCGAGAGTCATATAGATTGGGAAATGGAGGTAGCTAATTTAACTTACCAGAGTTCTCTTCATCTGCAAGATCTCTCTGATGGTTCTCCATGCACTGCAGGAGGTACTTGAAAGTTTCGATTTCGCATGGAATTGTGAGGCCGCCGCTGTGATCAAACCCAAACTCCTCCTCAACCTTCTCCAGCAACACTTTGAACAGCGGATCGCTGAGATAGCTAGTGGGAATTATGAACCTCCTGAGCTCCGGCCCAACGTACACTGCCAAATACCCCTTGGGAACATCAAGCGGCGGATCAGGGCTGTGGCAACTCTCATCATCTGAATCACAATGCACACTATAACTCCTCAACCTCCTATCAATCGCGGGTGAAATGCCTCCCCGTGAATTCTGAGAAGGCGACCTCGGGGAGCTGTCATTCCCCTTAGGCCCAAGAGTAACATTCTGCCATTTCTGCAGAAGCCCCTTCAATCTCACAATCTGCCTGATGCCTGCAACCTTGCTCCCTCCTTGTTCTTCCATTTTCTCTGCTCACCACAAGATCAGAATAATGAGAATACAACACTTTCTATTTCCTCTTCAAAAACACTTTTCTCATCAGACACTGAAACACTGCATTACAGAATAATAAGGTTCTGTCATGCCTCGGGTTCACTTTTAAACTCAAAAACAAACAAACAAGAATTCAGACAGAAAGAAATGTCTTGGATGCTTCTGTCACAAATGCAAGGCACCATCCAAAGGAATGATATGATTAATTAGTATGTGAATACACATGCCTCTAGATAACAACAGCTCAATCGGTTCTTATATCAAACATATGACCTGCAATTTATTTAGGTGATTTTAATGGATATCCATTCCATGTGATTATCTTTATTTAGCATGATTTGCGATGGTGGGAACTGAGAACCTCTGGCCTCCACATGATCAGCAGCTAATGCAATCCCATAGGTGATTTAAATAATCAGATTATCTTTTTTTATACAAGTTTGATTGCCACATATTTGAATATTAAAGTAATGTTCTATGTATCATGCATTATAATATAGTAATATACACTCATAAAAATGCCGGTGCTATGAATCTACTTCCATTGTCAAAGCTTTCGGCCCAAGCCAGTGGAAAAGAGCACAGGAAAGTTGAAGAGGAAGACAATACCAACATAGCGTCATAGCAAAGCAAATGCCTTCAATATCATAACATCAATTCATCCAAATCATTGTCTATTTTAAGAATGATGATATAAAACATCTCCTAAACTTTTAGTTATATAGGTGTAACCAGCAGAGCATGGCTGAATAGTCAAAACTCAAATCTCAGCTTTATTTAAAATAAAAAATAAAAAATCAAAGTTCGAGCTCTAAGTTATTGAATTCGAACTCTACTCAACTCAAACTCGAACTTGACTGGAATACGATCAATAAAGAAAGTATTTTCAAGTCAAATATCATAACAAAACTCAATATTAAATATTGATCATGGCCATTTTATAATACATAAATATATTAGCTAACTTTGTAACATTATATATAAACTCGTGATCTAATGAAGGAGATGTGAGATTGATTTTACGTAAATGCGTTGTATACATACTTGACTCGAATATTTAGATGTTTGAATTCGATTCGATTCTTGCTCAACAGTAATCAAATTAAATTCGAACATTTATCAAGTTAAGCCCTAATAATTCACAATTAGATAACTCGCTTATATTCGGAGGTGTATTACTCATAGCTCGTCATCACTGACATTCAAACTAATGAGTTAGGTTTAACAAACTAAAATCAGAAACATATTATTAAACAGAATACGTTAATATAATCAATCGCAGCAATATAAGCATACACCCAAAAATAGATAAATAAATCGATATATACAACTTGCAATCTGACACTTCTCTAATCATCATGCAATGATACAAAAACTTAAAAATTGCATTAAAATAAGATAAAAAGATTGATGCGTTTACCAGAATGCGATGAGTAGCGGCGGTGGAGAAGATGGGAGACAGAGTATAGTGTTGTACGCGTACGGGGGTGCTTTTAAAGGGGTGATTAGTGGTGGCGGGAAAGTTTTTGGATAGAGATAATGGAAGAAGTGATGTGTGAAATGATTAAATTTATGTATTTAATATTTAAATGTTTTTATATTTTCAATTAAATACGGAGTAATTTTTTTTTTTTTTTTAAGAGGATGCACATATGTGGATTGTTCACCGTTTTTTAGAGAAAAAAAGTACTAATATAAATGAAAAAGGGTGTAATGTCTTCTTGTAATTTTGTGGGTTTTGTCGGCTTGTGGGGCCCACATGATTGGGAGGAATCTCGCTTAACTCACGCGTGAAGACACAATATGCGCCTAGCCCGGGCACGAGTTGTTACCTTTTCTGTCTTTTTTTCTTAATTCAGTATGATTTGCTTCTTTTTTTTTTTCTTTCTATTTTCTCTTTCCTAATCGGCTAATCACACCTACAAAAACTTTTCAAAAATTACAAAAAAAAAAAAAAAAAAAAAAAAAAAACATAACTATTATAGATGCTCTAAAAACAACCTCCTCATAAAATTAACTTAAAGTGAAAAAATAGCCAATACACAAAGGGGGTTCAAAAACTCAAGACAAAAGATTAGTATGAGAGCCCACAACTCATGTAAGAGTATGAGCTATTTGGTTTGCTCATATTTTATTGTGTAAAAAAAAAAAAAAAAGGTAAAATGTTGAACTTTGTAAGACGGACTCAATTAAAATAGCATTAATATAATCATATACGTGACTTACTTGATAGAAAAATTATGGTCTATGCACTCGATCACCAAATTTGATTGTAATATAGTGCTAATTATTTTGCCTAATATGTAATTACAAGCTAGTGATTTTAAAATAGTCACAAGAAAATAAGTAATAATTGATAAGGTCAAGTAGATTGATAGAATTTCACTCTCGATAAAACTTAAACCTCAATCTTACATTGCATTTTGCTTATTAATTGTCATAGACTTGTCCTATGTCTTTAATTTTTTTCTTGTAATTTATTTGTTACTCCGTATTAAATATTAATATCACGTCCTAAATATTTTCATATTATGTTACCGAGTAGTACTTCTCATTCTCTAAAATAAGATTAGTTTAATCAATTTTTGTTAAAATGGGATGTTGGGGACCAGGCGGTCAGCAATCCTCCACGCAAGAGCGCCATAACCAAATCATTGGAATTGAAAGAGCTTTTTTTTTTTTTTTTTTTAAGGAAAAAAAAAACTTTTTTAAAAAAAAAAATTCATAGTACTATACAATGTTCGTTTTCCTCACAAGGAACACACATTCTTTATCATCTTTTTTTTTCCCCAGAAATGGCCACTTTTTCTCTTTCTGCTAATCACATTCTTCCTTCTCTACTCCATGCTCAATCCCCTCAAGCCAATCTCCCTCAAACCCTCAATTTCGTCCCCAAATCTTCACAATCCCAGTTTTATGGTCTCAAGCTTCTCCACGCCTCTTCCCTTTCAAAGCCCTCATTTTCTTCCTCTTCAACAAAAAGCTCCATTTTTGCTAAGGTAATCTGCATTGCCGTTGTGTTTGTTCACAATTAAGATTCTTGTATCTTTTTAAAAAATTTTCTTGGTTTTTTTTGGTGGTTTTGCCTTGCTAGGTAACTAAGGGTTCAGTGCCACCATCATTTACATTGAAAGATCAAGCTGGAAGAAATGTGACCCTCTCCAAGTTCAAAGGAAAGCCTATTGTGGTTTATTTCTACCCTGCTGATGACACTCCTGGTTGTACCAAACAGGTGATGTAGACTTTCATGGTCAACTTCAACTTTCCAGTCTCTTTTTGCTTTAGTTCTGTCTGTATGGCCAATAATTTTTTGGTGACCCGGAGAAAGAACCATAAAGAGGTAAACTAGCCTTGGTTGCTCTAACCGGCTCAAACAAAGAAGACCATTAATCCGCTCCTGGGGAGTCGAATTTGTAACATTGTGATTGCCAAGTCAACGATCTGAACTTGGATTGGTTGTCATGGAAAAAAAAAACATTTTTTTAATACATAGATATCTTGTAAGTTTGAAACAATTGTCATGTTGTATAGCATTCACATTTAAGAAAATGGAGAGTTTGATTACAAAATAGCCTTTTTCTTTTTTCACATGTAAGTTTGACTGTACCTGTATTCTTGCCTTCTTGGATCAATCAGAATTGGGCTGAACTTATTCTAAACTTTCCTGCTTAATCTAATTCTTTTTCTAACTAGAACTATGGTTGTGTTGTTTTGAACTGCATTTGCAAAGGCAAAGGGGATTTGGGGTGGGGGCAGAGTTGAGTTTATGAATGTTTCATCATTGGTGACTCAAATGCATAATGTTTGTCTTTGCAACAGAACGATGCCAATCGATTTTAAAGTGCTGACAATCCAAAGTGTGGGCATTAACCATCTGTTAATGCTGTTTACAGGCCTGTTCATTCAGGGATTCATATGAGAAATTCAAGAAAGCCGGAGCTGAAGTTGTTGGGATTAGCGGTGATAATCCTTCCTCCCATAAGGTATATTTACTTGGCTTGTTCATAACGATTTTTCCAGCAAAACACATGTTTCGTTGTTATGCAGGTTTACTATTTTTTTAAAAAGTTGTTTTCCAGACAGATTACGTTATATTGTACTCCATTTTCATCGCCATTCTTTATTCCTGTTCAGAAACTTACCCAAGAATATATCCTTTTTGTGAAAAATATTTCAAATTATCAATTTCTGTTACCAGGCAAGAAGAGTCTAAATTGCAATAAAATTTTTTTGTTATCGACCATTATTCTGGGTCGATGCAGGCCTTTGCAGAAAAATACAAACTTCCATTCACGTTGCTAAGTGACGAAGGCAACAATGTAAGAAAAGAGTGGGGAGTCCCTGCAGACCTCTTCGGTGCATTGCCTGGGCGACAAACTTATGTTCTTGACAAGAAAGGAGTGGTCCAACTCATCTATAACAATCAATTCCAGCCCGAAAAACATATTGACGAGACATTGAAGCTACTCCAAAGTCTTTAAGGTTCTATATTTCATCTTGTATTTATTCCTTGTAACCTAATAATAGTCTCGTGACCTCAACTTTAAGCCCCATTGGCTGTTGAGCAATAACGCTTTTAAGTTCCATAGTAATTTGAAACGGAAAGGATGAAAATTTAGTGTTGATAATAATGAATAAAGTGTGTGAGCATATATATGTGTTCATATTTGTGGTTTCAGTTCTCGTCTGCATAATCTTGGCTGTTGTAAGGGCTAAAGGCTTCGGAGAACCAGGTCGACTTCCTCCATGGTTCCCATCCCATTTCTTCACAGATTTCGTCGCTGTGGTTGATGCTGAAGGTGGAAATGCAGCTCCGCTTGTAAAACCGGGTACTCCTCCTCATGATTTCCATTTCATCAGTTGTCTGTTTGAGCATCTTCTCCACGCTTGGAAGCTTGAATTGTTCGTCGACTAGTCTAGACATCCATTTGCACCGAAGCTCGGCTGTGTGCAGGTTAGACACACTCTCGATGTAGCCAACGAAAGCCATGTTAGGAATCAGTGGATTGATTGTGCCTCTGCATATACATAAATGTCTAATGTTGTCAACATGAATGTTCTTGCTTGGTTTCCCATATTTGGCTGACGAGAGAAACCAGCAGCCATCCACTACCCGAGGGTGTGCACTGGGTAAACCTGGCCTTGTGATCCTAGCCAACAAATGACCAAAAGGATATAAACCAGCCAGGTTACCCATAGCTGACTGGCTCAAACTAAGAAGGCCAGTGTTTTACCTGTATAATGGCATCATCCCGGAGGGGAATTCGAGGAGGCTGCGAAAGGGGTCGGGCAATATGGTTTCGAGCTTCTTCTTGCCATCAAAACCAGTTGCAAGAATCACAACATCTGCCTCCATCTTTGTGTTGTCTTCCTCAAACTCAATCCCTCCCTCCCAGAACCACCACTTTGAGGCTGATCTTTTGAACTGAATCTTCCCTTTATCAGCCTCCCTGAAGAAACTCTCCGGCAGGATCGCCATCTGGCAGGATGCATAGTCCTCAACAAAGGGATGATCAGGCCTCAATCCATACTTGTCAAGTGGGAGCTTCCATGCGAGATAAGACTCGATTATCTTAGAAACAACTCCTCTCTATAAACATCAAACAAAATAAAATCCCGATCAGATCAGAGAAGTCCTCGTGGATCTCAATTTATTAGGTTGAGGTATAGGAGAAACTTATCGGATTGCACATTAATGTTACACTTTGAATCCATGCCCTTTGGTCTAGATCTGATACCAAATTGAAGCATGTGCTCCATCTCAACTAAAAGTCTAAGCTAATAGTTAGATTGCACATTAATGGTTATATGTTCAACATCCGTGCATCATAACTTACCAAAGGAAAGAGAACGTGACATAGAAGTGTTCTGAACAGGCCCTGGTTTGGTCTTTCATAGAGGAACTGAGAAAATCTGGTGGAATAGAACAAGTAAAATGGGAAACCCCAAATAGAGTAGTGTGGAACTGTCCAATGGAGGGTCCTGATCACCATGGTGCATGCTTTCCCATCTGCCCCTGCACGTAATACCAAATTACAATACTCAAAGCCAGTGTTTGCTGATTAAAGATTAATTAATGCTATACTAACCAAAATTTAATGAAACTTTAGTGTACTTTTAAAATATGTAGATTTTTATTTACTAATATTAAATTAAAGGGAAAATGATACTTTTCCCCCCTGAGTTATATACTTATAGCATTTGTCCCCCCTGAATTATTGAAGTGGCTGTTTCCCCCCTGAAATGTTAAATGAACATATTTACCCTTAAAATAAATATTTCATTTATTTTTTTTCAAAAAATTATGACCATAATTTGGTTCAAACCAAACAAACACTATAGCAACCAAACCGAAATGTTCCAATTACAATTTAGAATCGAAATCCGATATTTAGAGTTTATTAAAATCATGAATCGGAACGGACGGTTTATATTCCGAAATGAAAAAATAAAATACATTTATTGTTGAATTTAGACTATTTTAAAATAAAAAATAAAATTTTAAAATAAAGACGGTTCAAAATTGCGAATCGGATCCGGAACCGCGGGTTCACGGTTCAAGATTCAATTTTTTTGATACATAATTTTAATAAATTGACATTTAAATATTGGGTTCTAGATCTGAATCATAATCGAAAACTATTAATTCGATTGCTTTAGTATCCGGTTAAATTCAAATCGAACCGTGGTCATTCCTACATATAGGCAATAATTTGTTGAAGTAAAATAAAATGTTTACTTTAAGGGTATAAATGTCAATTTAATATATCAGGGGGGAAAATCACCACTTTTAGAATAATTGAGGGGACTAATGTGCTTACCTAAATAATTGAAGGGGAAAAAGTGCTATAAGTATATTACTCAGGGGTAAAAAGTGTCATTTTCCCTAAATTAAATTATAAATAGTTTGACTCCAATTAAGAGTTTTCATGCTGCGTTGAAAGAGAGAGGGTGAGGTGATGGAAAGTTGCTTTGAGTTATTGAAGAAATGAGTCATTTTTCAAAAAAATAGAAAATTAGATAAATGAAAAACCGAAAAATAGTGCATACTTGTGTTTACTAAAAGTCTAAAACCCATTTTTTCAAATTGAAATCTCCATTTTTCTAAAATTTGAAAAATTCATTTAACTAATCCTTCAAATTTGGAGAAATATAATGGAGAAAGGCACATGAACAATAGATCCACACTTGATCCTTTGTAACACCATTTCTAACCCTTTTTTTCCTCGAGAAAATAAAAAAGTAGAGAAATTAAAAAAAAAAGAAAAAAAAAAGAAAACAGAACAAATTATACGCTTGTTGGCCGCTTCAAAGCCGCCAACTGGCGACCACTCCCTAAACTTTTTCATTCCAAATTAGAAAAAATAAATAGACTCTCATAAACTAAAATTCTCGCCACGTATTATAAATTTGTTGATAGAAGAAAAAAAATAATAAAAATTATAAACTATTCTTTTTTCTAAATGAATCAGAACATGCTTAGGGCATCCCCAATAAGGGGATTTTGCCACATTTTAGAACAGTAAAATTTGTTTGTGTTAGATTTTGACAAATGGGAAAGACAAAATTTCATCACATTTTTCTCCTGCAAGAAGAAAACTCATGTCAGAATTTTTTAAAAAAAAAATAAAATGAATAAAGGGTGAGACGCGCAAGTGCGTCTCACCCTTCAGCCTAGCGGGCGCGTGCCGCCAGGGCGTTTCAAAGTGGCCGCCAACCACTCTGAAATTAGTTACTTTTTGGCATTTTGTGCCGTTGCAATTTGCAACGGCACACAATACTGTTTTTTTTTTCTAGTTAATAATTATATTTTATTCTAAAAAAAATAAATAGAACATCTTTCACACATTCTACTCCCATTTTTTATTTTTTTATTTTTTTATTTTATTTACTATGTTTATTTTAATTGTAATTTGGGAAATGAAAACTTGCAATTTTTACTATTTATTTATTTTATTATAAAATTATAAAATTATAAATCAAATAAATAAAGAAATAATTAAAATATGGTGATAAAATGGTGGGTCCACAAAAAGTTGTGAAAAAGTTTAAAACTAATGGGAAGAAGATATTTTGTGATTGAGTTAGATAGTGGATGATGATGTGGATGTTGGGGCCCACAAAAATGTGGGGTAAAATCCCCAACTATTGAGGATGCCCTTAGGGGGCGTTTGGTTCAGGTCATCTTTGATTACCTAGGTTATCTGAGTCTGGTAATGTTATATTACCTTGTTTGGTTTAAGTTATGAGATTACCTGGTAATGTTATATTACCTGAAAGCTGATGTGGCGGTAATGTTTCAAGGTAATGTGATTACCCCCATTTTTTTAGGTAATCTTAGATTACCTTGGATTATTCCAACTTTGCCCTTGTTAACTAATCCTTATAATAATAATAATAATAATAATAATAATAATAATAATAATAATATTATTATTATTATTATTATTATTATTATTATTATTATACTATAAAATATACATGTGTATATTTATATATTTAGTTTTTTAATATTTGAACATTGATATACATTCATACATTCATACATATAAATAAATAAAATAAATACACACACATAATATATATATATATATATATATATATATATATATATATATATATATATATATATTATTGAGGACATTATTGTAAATTAATTCATATAACCTAAAATATAACCCTTAACCAAACACAGTAATATCATATTCCACAATACAAACTAAACACATAAGGTAATCTTACATTCCGGTAATCTCAGATTACCTTCCTGGAGGTAATCTTATTACCTGGAGTAATCCAAGATTCCGTGAACCAAACGCCCCATTAGTATAAAGTAAAAATTGAAAGCATGTATAATAAATATTACTTTCCAAATTAATACTTAAATTCCCTTGCTTTTCAATTGACTTGACTTTGAATGAAATGACTTCGTGTCCGTACAAAGTCCTCCAGTCAAAAGTCAAAACATTTTATCCTCGTATATTAAACTCAAAAGTCAAAAGTTTAATGCAGATTTTTAAGGAATTGAATAACAAATTAAATAAAACAAAAGATGAGATCTGATCAGATCTATATATATATATATATATATATATATATATATATACCTTGGTTGGCTTCTGCACATTCAACAGCTACGTCAATGGCGGATTTCTTGTACCCCACAACTACAACCTTCTTCCCTTTCACCACCTCTCTACACCCTTCTTCTTCAAGCTTACAGTAATCATCGGTATGCAAAACTTTTCCGGCGAACACCTCCGGCCCCTTGCCCTGCGGGAACGGTGGAATTCTCGGCACGTCGCCATACTTTCCGGTGCACATCACCAACAACTCAAAGCTATATAACTGATGATGATACATACACACAAAATAAGGTTGAATTGTTAGGTCTCATTACAACATGCATCCATGCTAACATGTACGTAGCCCAAGAATATGATTTGTCTCAATTAAAAAAAATATTTATTTTTGTATAACACGTGAATATATATTTTTTATTATTAGAAAGTGCAAAGTTTCTCGAATATACATAAACCTATCTTCCACTTAATACAAAATTGAATGATGTGTGTGTGTGATGAAATATTAGAATCAAAATTAAATACTTAGTAATTAAAATGAATTTTTAATTAGTAATTGTAGACTCAACTCCTTGTTTAGTAGCGGATGATATTAGAATTATGTGTGTGTGTGTGTTTGTGTGAGATGAAAAAATAGGAGCAAATTAAATACTTTTTCCGTTTTCTTATATTTTTTGGTTTTTATTTTTCATTTCAAGAAACAAAAATGAGATTTTGTTTTTCTTTGAAAACCAAAAAATGAGATTTTATATGAGAATGACTTTAAATAATTAGAGAAAAACCTCTAGGGTTTCAGACTGGTTGGTTTGGACAGAAACTTCCCAAACCGGATGGCCAGGCAACAACCTCCCATAATCTCCGGTGCTTGTTTCACGGTCTCCGACGAACCGGATTCCGACCACCTTAGAGTTGAACTTGACGAACTTCAGAACGTCAAAGTGAGTCGCATAGGAATGCAGGTAGTCGAGAACTTCCAGGTACGTCGGAAAACTGGAATTATCCCTTTGCGTCCACGGAAAATCGGAGAACTCGTAGTCGCAGCGAGGAGTCTGCAGCTTAGTAGAGCGGTAAGAGCAGTGCTTCCAGACGCCGCCGATGCCGCCGGTGGCCTCAAACACCACCGGCTCGTACTTCGACAGCTGCTTTGCGGCGGCTATGCCGCTTATACCGCCTCCGACGATTCCGATCATCCTTGAATGGACCGTCATTATTATTGATGGATTTATATATATCTCTCTTGCTGTTGGCATGCAAATGAACGTATATGCTCGATTATTTATACTAAAAAAGAAGCAAAAAAAAAAAAAAAAATGAAATGAGAAGGAAAAGAGGGTTTAATTTACTTGTAGATGATGATACAAGCAGCACGTGAAAATATATATATATATATATATATAAAATTACAGATATATTACCGGAAGTTTGATCGATAAGAAATGGAAATTTCTGCTAGTCCATGATTGGCATGGTTCCATTTTAATTGGTGTGGGAAACCCAATGAGTCAGTTGAACAATTGACTGGATAACTATAAAATGATTTTTTTGGCCGGTATAATAATTTAAGCTGATTTTGCTTTATCCGATGTAGACAAATTTTATTCTATACATATTTCTGTTCTTCAAGGATCACAAGGTTATTGTATTGGCATTCTCAGTTTAAGACCGACATAACAATCTAAGTTAGTTTAATTTATTGTGATCCTTTACCAGCTAGAATTATAATACGGGCTTTATCTCAAGTGTAGTTTCAGATAGACTGCGGACTTATAGTAAATTAAAGGAATTGAATTTGTGTTTACAAAAAAAAAAAAAAAAAAAAAAATTGAATGTGTGCGTACACGGTACGTATATAAGATTCCACTTCATGTCCGTAAGATTATTGTACGTTTTATATATGTTGCTCTATTTGTCGCATATATTTGTGTAAAGTTTATTGTTGTCCTATCCCACTTATGTAGAATTATTACTAATTTTCACTTATTTTTAAATAAGTACTTCAAAATATATCAATGCAAGATTATTATATAAGAGATATTCATGTATAGATAATTTAATATTGAATTTGTTTATTTAAATAGATCGATAATTCAAAGTATATAATGCTACATAATATAGGAGAGATTAATTATAATTGTCACTAAAATAAATATTTGTAACTTTGTAATACGGGCTTTATTTCAAATGTACGGGCTTTATCTTCCTATCGATCTAATCTAATCTATATATTTATATATCTATCTTTCTATCTATCTTCTATCTATATACTAAAGCCACAACTTTTGGTAAAAAAAAATAATTTTTAGTTTCCCGCCCAATGAAAACTACTTAATTTTGATGAATTTGTAAAATTATTATTAGTACAAAGGTGATCAGCATGTATGAATGCATTTACTGCAATTTAAAAAAATATTAAATATTTATAATATTTATCAATCAACCTTTTCATATAAATCAATTGGTAATAAAGAGTAATTACTACATGTTATTTCCAATGTGTCTTTTGAGTTCTCTGTTTCTATGTTATTTTCAATGTGTATTTTGAAATAGACTTTTCACATCTACTTTTATCTTTTATTCATGTATAAATATCAACAAATACATACTCTCTTCTCAGTTCTCACCAGCACATCCCTGTTGAGGGAGAAACGAGAACTTAGAGACTAGAGCAAAGATAGCCGAGGTAATGAGAATAGGAAGAAGATATGGGTGAAGGAGATGAAAAGAGAGAAAGAAGAAGAATGCATCTTGAGCTTTGGGAGAGTTATCAATGGCGGCTTAGCTGAGAACCGGAAATCAAGAATTGAATTGAAGAAAGAAGAAGAACGCATCTTGAACTAGGATCGCGCGAGATGCATGAGGGGACTGTTGTTCAAGAAGATAGACCACCTGTAGGTGATTTTCTGAGTGGGGTGTTTTTTTGTTTTGGTTTTAAGAAAACAATTTCTTTTTAGTGTCTCATATGCAACGAATGTCAACAATATATTAATTAACAAAAGCTAAGATTGATCTCTTTCAATCATTAGTCTATTATCCAAAAAAAAAAAAAAGAAGCAATTTTTGGTCATGAATAATTGTATAATGTTATTTCAAGAATTAACAATCTTAAAGCTTTAGTAATTTTAATATTAATAATAAGGGTATGATTTTTTCATACCAAATCAACATAATAATTATTAATAAAAACTTTATTATTATATAGAACTTATATTTTCTTTTTTATATATATGAAATTTATATATATTAGTAGTTTTTATTATAAATGTTATAATAATACTTTATATTTAATTATATAAGTTTAGACTGTGCATTGCACTGGACAATATCTAGTTAATAATATTATTATTAGTAAATTATTTTATGTTTATACATTTCAATGCAAGGATGTTGGTTTGTTGTTCAACTAAAAACTCCAAGAAACATATTAAATAATCTTTAATAATATTTGATTTTATAGTTCAATTATCACTATTGAAAATTCTGAAATTTCCGACCACCTAAAAGTGATCTTAAATCAAGTTGAAAGTCTTGTTCCGACCATTTTTGGTATCCCGAAAAACCCTTGTTGCTATTTCCGATCACTTTTTGCTTTCAACTTAATTTAAGATTACTTTCAGGTGGACGGAAATTTGATAATTTTCAGTAGTGTATTTTATGCTTATACATTTAAATCATATTTTTAAAGCATTATGATGTCACATTTTCATTATATATATGACTTGCACGGATGGAATTGAATTATTTATTATTTAATATTCTTAAATTGTTCCTCGTATTTAAAAAAATATTTAAGTTTGACAATAAAGTTAAATTGTTTTGTAAAGAAATAAATGATTTTTCTTTATGAATCATAATAATAGAAGTACTAGATTCACAAATAAGTCATAAATAGAGCAAAAAATAAAGATAAAACAACATATTGAGATCTCATTCCATGCTTAATTGATTATAGACAAACAAAAAATTGTGTAACTATTTTAAGCAAGTGTAATTACGTGAATCTACGCCTAAGAGAGATGTACAATCAGAGGGTGAAGCTAAAGGGATTGAATAGTTTGTAAAATGGATAGCTAATATAGGTGATGAAGTAATTGGTAATTCAACTTATGGTGGGTGAAGCTAGCAGATATTACAATTCCAGATCACTTATTGCACAAGTGTGATGATGATCCTATTAGTGCAATTGTTCATAGCATCCTCCCTTTGTTTTGATGCGGTATAGGTGGTCTGTCCTATCTTAAGAATAGTGTTATCTTATGTCATGACAATAAACAAAAGCCAATGACAAACACTATCAAAAGTGAAATTGTTTTTAAAAAGGTCTGACTTTAACCATGGCCAAATGTACGTAGCTGTTTCAAAAGTTAGTAACCCAATGGGTTTTAAAATTTTGATTTGTGGTGAAAATGTACCATATCTAAGTAGTTTATCATTTCAAATTTATTAGGTTTTTAAACGGTATATTTTTCAATCTAATTATATTATACGGTGTATTTTATATATTATATATGTAGTCGTGCATCGCATGGATGCAACTACTAGTAGTAAATTAAAGGAATTGAATTTGTGTTTACAAAAGAAAAAGAAAAAGAAAAGAATTGAATGTGTGCGTACACGGTACGTATATAAGATTCCACTTCATGTCCGTAATATTATTGTACGTTATATATAAGTTGCTCTATTTGTCGCATATATTTGTGTAAAGTTTATTGTTGTCCTATCCTACTTATGTACGTAGAATTATATTAATGTTATTAGTTGTGATCTTAACCTTCTAAATGTTCTTGAATTGGAAGTTTGAAACAAAGCAAGTTTAATTTTAATGTCACTTTTAGATACCGAAGAGTTTTTTTAGAAGGAAAAAACAACAATAAAAGAAGCACCCTATAACATATATAGAGTTAATTCCAACAGAGGTCTCTTGTTTTTTGTGACAATTTTAAATTTAGTCCTAGACTATCATTTTTGTCATTTTACATACCAAACTATAATTTTTTGGACACTTTTATTTATTCTCATGATTTTTTCTATTTTTAGCAAGGTCATTATTGTCTTTTCATATTTTTATTTTGTTATTTTTCTGGTTTCAACCGGTTTGATTAGTTTAGAACTTTAAGTAATTTCTTATTTTTAGTAACCATATTTTTCAACCGATTTTTAGTAAAGTCCTAAACCAATTAAATCGGTTGAAACTGCAAAAAAAAAAAAAATGAAGAAACAAAAATACGCTTACTAAAAATAAAAAAAGTCATGAGAATGACTAAAAGTGTCCAAAAAATGATAGCCTGGGATGTAAAATGACAAAAACAATAGTGTGCGACTAAATTTAGAATTGCCATCAAAGACAAAGGACCTCTGGTGGAATTAACTCAACATATATATGAAAGAAGTTTGATGGAAATGGATTATTCTTATTCTTCCAAAGGCTGAATCCCAACCCTAAAGGCCCCCCACACCCGACCAGATAGAGCATTTGGGAGAAGCTCAGTTGGATTATTCTTATTAAAGAATTTCATATTTGGAATTTCGAAGAGTATAATCCCCATGGAGTTTTTGTATTATATTTTATTTAATTAACTTGTAACAAATTAATCATTTTATGATTATGAATAATTAATAAACATAAAAAATATTAATAAAACATACGAATTTGTAAAGTTTAACGTAAATACTCCGTAATTTAAATTTTGCACTTTTAGTCCCACGACTATAGTGACACTGGCAGAATTGATCCACGACTTTTGAACCTTGCAATTTTAGTTCACGACTATTGATTTTTTTACAAAAATGGTCATTCCGGCCACTTTTCCGTCAAAATTTCACCGAATTTTTTTTTTTTTTTCCATTTTTAGCCGGGTTAAAATTGACATTTTACTTATTTCAAAAAATTAAAAGAAAAAAATTGATATTTGACTACATACAATATTACTGGGCTACATACTACTGCCCCAGGCGGCGGAGTTCCTGGAGCAGGCAGGGCTGTCAGTAAGCGGCGGAGCGGCCGTGACGTTCCCCGGGCTAGTTGGGTTATCCGGCAGCAGCATTGGAGTGGTACATGTACTCCACCAATTTTAACCCGGGCTAGTTCGGTTACCTTGCAAGTAAAATGTCAATTTTAACCTGCTAAAAATAGAGAATTTTTTTTTTTCCGGTGAAATTTTGACGGAAAAGTGGCCGGAGGGACCATTTTTGCAAAAAAACCAATAGTCGT